AAGTTCAGCCACTAGATTTCAGCTACTGTCTAGAACCAGCTGGTGCACACATCACCTCAGAGAGTCTCTGCAACAGCTAAACTTTGCCAAAGTGTGATTTTGTACATAGCAGAGTGACACATCAACACCAGACCCAGCTACTGGTGGGAGCTGGAAACACAACAGAGGGAGAGGGTACTGCTAACCCCATGAAATCTCAAAAGCAGCTGCTTCCTGAACAAGACTGACCCAAAACCTTCCCAATGAAAAGTGAAGCTTGGCAAGTCTGTCAAAGGCAATAAGGAAAGCACTGAAGTTTAAGCACACAGGATCCAACCAGAACTTAAGATCAGTCATAGTTTTAAAGCCACAGGAATCACTGTAGATTAAACCAGCTCTCCTGCATAGCGATCCCCTCAGTAAATCTAACCTCTCAGAGGGATAAGTGACTGTTGGTACACGAGCAGGTGTGACAGTTAAATGCCAAAGAGGCTATTCTGGTCAACAAGCTTCCAAAGACAAGTCAATAAGGATAATGAGAATACAGCATGAGAAGTTTGGCTTATTAAATCTGGAATTAAATCATGCATATTCCCATCTTTACCAAGCTGCTCTTCTGTGATTTCCCCTCCTTCCCAAATTGGGCCAGCAAAGAAAACACTGTAGAACAACCATTCAAAACCAGACTCAAGATTCATGATGCTGCACCTGACCCCACTTAATTTCTAGCAATAGAAGAGGTAAGTAGTGTCAGAGAAGGAGAAGAAGGTCTCTCTACTCACCAGATGGCTCCTCCGGCTCGCTTTCATTCTCCTCCTCTGCAGGAGCTGGTGGAGGTGGTGGTGGCAGTTTCTTCTCTTTCTCAGCCTTAGCATTTCTCTCTTCTTCAGAGTAATACTCATCTTCTGACAGGTTTGCAAGACTCTCGTCCATCTCCCTATACTCCACCTGTAAGAAGCACCACAGGGGATAAACACACTGAAGATGTCTCTAAGTCTCACTGCTAAAATGAACACTGCAAACAACAAAACTGCCCATAGCTCAAAAGGCCTGAGCTACCTTGTCTTATTACAGCTGCCATGTGATAAAATCTCCAACAGCTTAGCTAGTTCCTGTTTTATCTCCACTAAAGTCTTTGGTACCCAACTGTCCAATAATAGGAACTTGCTGCTCCTACAGAACTCAGTTTATTGGTACTCGTTATATTATCATTCAACCTCTCTGGCTTTCTCCCCCTTCTTCACCTCCCTGTCAAGCCCAGGGGTAACAAATCACCTCTATGTCCAATCCACATATTCCAGCTTGAATTCAGCTGTCAAACCTGGGTGACCAGACCTGTACACAAGATTCACACGGATTTCCTTGGGTGCATCTCACACTGGTTCAGAAACCAGGCTTTTTTCCCCAAGTTAGAAAGTTTGTGTATTTCTACCTGTTGGAAAGGGAATAAACCACTTCTCAATACACAGCCATGGGAAAAAGAAAGAGAAAGCATCTGTGACCCTCCAGCATCCTAGAGGTCACCTTGTGATGACCAAAGCAACTCTCCATGTGTCTTCAAGAGATCAACACCTCTGTCACAGTCCAAGTTCATTAAGACAGGGCAATAACAGGCACAGTTCCCAACAGCACTGGGAAGTCGTGTACAGGAAAGCCTGAATTCAGTAAAACACCAACACGCTCCATGAGCCACCTTTTAGATGTTCACGTTCCCTGTCCAGCACATCCAGTTCTCACTGCCCAGCAAACACTGCACCCCCAGGATCTTTTGTGAACCCAGGTTCTGGAGCAAGTTTCAATGATCCCACGGCACCATAAGCACATTATCACAGGTATTCAAACCCAACACAAACTGCTTCTGCCCCAAGGCCCTCTGAAGGCTCCCTTCCTCCTTGAGCTCACACAGCTTGCAGAGAACAACTGAGTCCAACGGAAAACTCCAAGCTTTTCCCTTGGTTTGCTTTCAACCTGGACACCCTCCTCAACTGAGCTCACCCCCCAGACACTCACAGGAAGGTGACCCTGTGCTACCCTGAAGGGACAATGGGGAGATGCTCTGCCAAAAGAGATTAACACCCTTAGCAAACCCACAGACACTGCACTGATTCCTGCTTGTAAACAGACGAATGTAAAGCGAGTAAAACCCAGGTATGGTGCCTTGAGAGATCACAGAATGGTTTGGGTTGAAGGGACCTTAAAGCTCATCCAGCTCCAACCCCCCTACAACGGGCAGGGACCCCTTCCACTGGAGCAGCTTGCTCCAAGCCCCTGTGTCCAACCTGGCCTTGAGCACTGCCAGGGATGGGGCAGCCACAGCTTCTCTGGGCACCCTGTGCCAGCGCCTCAGCACCCTCACAGGGAAGAGCTTCTGCCTAAGAGCTCAGCTCAGGCTCCCCTCGGGCAGGTTACAGGATGCACCAGGCTGACCTACCCAGCAACTCCTACATACAAAGGACCGGCCAAGCTACCACATCAGGTAAGAGCTGTGAAGAAGCCATTCAGCGCCGTGGCTACAGCACAAGAGAGCTCCCAAGAGCGTTTCCAGCCTCCCCATCGCACCCCCCCAGCACTGGGCACAGCAGAGATCCTCAGAGTCTTCTGCACGGAGGTTTCCAATGAAATGTTCACAAAAGAAACGGCACTTTCTCCATGTCCACAGTAACTCACGACTGTCACGTACCAGACACACAGCACAGGCACAGATCACCAGAGGCTGTTTGCAGCCTTTAGATTCCACCCATAAACCTCGCTATTAACCCCCGGGCGGCACCGAGCAGCGGCAGGGCCGCAACAAGCCCGCACACAGCCCGCGGCACTGGGACCGCTCTCCCCGCACCCCCACGCACCTTGGCCCGCTTGCGCCGGCTGGTCCTGCGGCCCTCGGGGGTCTCGGCGGTACCCGTGGTCTCGGCGCCGGGAGCAGGCCCGGCCCCAGCGGCCGGCGGCTCGGACAGAGCGCCCGGGGGCGAGGCCCGCGGCGGCTCCTTCTTGCGGGGCGTGCGCTCGGCAGCGCCGCCGCTCTCGGCAGAGGAGCCCGGGGCCCCCGAGGCGGCGGGCGGAGGAACCGGAGCCTCAGGCCCGCCCTCGCCGCCCGCCGCCGCCTCCGCGCCCTTCTTGCCCCCCGACAGCATCGCCCCGGCCGCGCCGCACAAAGGAGCCCGAGCCGCGGCGTGAGGGAGGCCGCGCCGCGCCGCCGCCTGACGTCACATCCGGGCCGCACCGGGGCGCCTGCGCGGGATAGACGGTTGCCGGGGAGCCGTTGGGGCTGCCGGGAATAGGGAGGTGAGAACCCCATGGCCATAGAGAGCGGTGCTGGGGCGGCTGTGGGACGACGTGACCCATGGAGGCATCGAACCACAGCCTGGGGTGGGTTGAAGGGACCTTAAAGCTCCTCCAGCTCCAACCCCTGCCACGGGCAAGGACCCCTTCCACTGGAGCAGCTTGCTCCAAGCCCCTGTGTCCAACCTGGCCTTGAGCACTGCCAGGGATGGGGCAGCCACAGCTTCTCTGGGCACCCTGTGCCAGCGCCTCAGCACCCTCACAGGGAAGAGCTTCTGCCTAAGAGCTCAGCTCAGTCTTGACATGACACCCCCAGTCAGTGCTCACCAGCCCCATGGTCCTGGTGTGGAGCATGCTGCCAGCAACCTTCTGCTCTTGCCTTGCATAGCCTCAACGTTATCAGCTATGGGTAACAGAAGACAGAAGCCCACTTCTTGCTGATTTTCTTGCCTCTCTTCAAAGCCGCTCATTAACCAGAAGGAATGTGTGCCGAATTCCAGGACACACACCGTGCCACCGCGCTGGTTTGGATTCTAGTATTTCATGCTGTCATAGGAAGTGGCATTTCCTCCATTATCCCACTTTACTCTCTTTTTATTTGTGCCAAGGTGAATTCTTGAAATAATCACAACATTCAGTTTTGAGCCTCAGTTTTACCTAATGGATGAGACAAATGGGTTCTTCAGAGCACATTTAACACAGGTTTACACCAACCAGCATCTCGAAACATGACACATTCGTTTACTCTTCTGAATTTACAGATTCAAGTTAATTCTTTTATTTTAAAGGGCCATTTATTAAGTGCAGTTAACATGACAGATACTGGCTCCCCCTATTTGTAAAACTGTCTCCTAAATCCATATCTATAGGTCAGCTTCACATTCACTAGGGTATGAACAGTTAGAATAAGGCATACAAAGGGCTTCCAGCCACATCCTGTATCTTGTTGCACCTGAGACATCCTCATGCCCGTTGTCTTAGAAGGCATTTTCCCTATAATCAGAAAAGCAAATTTAAGCTGTGGTAAATTCTCTGAGAAAACTCTGGCATCTGAAACAATGGGAATTTGCTTCAACTTCTCTCTGTACAGAGCTGAGCAGAACCTTTTCATTTACCACAGACACACAAATCTGAGGCTTATGTGAAGTATCAGCATTCAGTTTGGTCCAAACCATTATAAATCTATAGCTCACTTTTAACACGAGTCAATTTAATTCCATCTTTCATCAGAAAAATCTGAGATCAATGCAGAAACCATTTATACCACTGTGTCCTTTGCTGATCTGTGTGAATAAACTGTGGCTTGGGCCTTTTCTATCCAAACAACATCAAGGAATATTTTCTAAGTACTGCAGCACTGCTCTTTTAGTTGGATCCATATTAATGGAAAACCCTCCATGGAGCAGAGGACAAACCTCAGAAGGAAAGTCTGGCTCTGTGAGACTTGACGCTTCCGTTATCACAGAAAATTTAGGCAAAGGGCAAGAGAAATGGAGGAACTGAGGTATGGAAAAGCTGTTAATGGTTCTGCTCACAGGCCAAAGGGAGAAGAACTGAGACTGAGCGACTTCTTCTAACATATGGGTCCTGTTCTGCTTCCCCATAGCATCCTTCCACACCCCCAGCAGCACAGTGGAGGAGGAACCTAATCCCACTATAACGCTACTAAATACAGACCATCGCTCCTTTTCAAGGAAGCCACGGCATGTTTCTTCAGCTGTAATTCATCCTTCTTCCCACACTTCAGAGAAAGGAGGTTTTATTAAGGAGCATTTTGAATTACGACAGACATGAACCCAGGAGAAAGGCCTGTACTTGCATTCAACTTTTTAAACCACCAGTGACTGGCAAGCACAAGCAGTGCTATACAAGAAATCAAGTCGCTCAAACCCCCTTCATTGTGAAGAGGGTTCAGCCTGGGGACGTTCACAGAATGCTGGGAATGGGAAAAAAGATCAAAAGCAACATTCAAGGCATACACAAACTGAAACCTACAGGTGCTTTGAAGTCTATACTTTTGTTTTCCTCCCTTTACAAGTCTATACAATGATATAGAGAGAAAAATCTGTGTGTATGTCGGGGGGGAAGGTCTTCACCCAGTACTTTTTCTACATTTCCACAGTTTTGTTTTTTTGTTAAAAAAAGTCATTTATAATTTAATACCTGTTTCAGGATTCTTGGATTATGGTGCTGTTAACATTGCACTTAACTGGCATCATCCATTTAAAAAAAAAAGAAATTAAAATGCAGCTCTGAACTCTGCTTCTGAGATGGAAGCACTGTCTCTGAACCAGCAAAGATTCCTGTCACTCTTGCTTTGCAACTTTCAAGGCCTGAAGTCTTTCTAAAAGGGGTGGATGGGAGTAATGCCACATTGAAAAGATCCAGTCAGAAACAGGGAATCCTAAATTATCTTTGTTCAGCTTGATCAAAGCAGAATAGAGGTCTTTAGCCTTCCCGAGTTCCTTGGCAAATGCATCTGCTTGAAACTCAAATCGACGGCTTAGTACAGTCAAACAGAACGAGAGAACCTGTGGAGAGAAATACATTAAAACTGATTTTACAATTGAGATATCTGCAAGTTCCTTATGTTATCAGTAAGTACTACATTATCTCCCTTCCCACATCCCACACATCACTGTGGCTGTAGAAGGATCCCACTAAAGTTTATCTAGGCCACACCTGAAACTGAGGGTCTTCCCAACATGGAGCAATAAGCCTATTTATTGGAACAAGATACCAGAGCCCCAGGAAACCTCAAACTTCCCCCACCCCTGTCAAAATAAAATCATTATTTAAAGAGTATATTTCAGCATCTACATCTTGAAATCAATTTACCTCATTGTAAGGTGAAAAAATGAACTGGAAAATAATCATCAAGCCTATCAGGGTAGGCTGGGTGTCATAGAAACCAAACGCAGCAAAGAGTTCTTTTCGACCAATTAACACAGCAAACAAGAAGAAGCAGAGGAAGGAATTCATCTAGAAAAAGGAAACAACATTCTTAGATTATGATCTAAGTCTAAAACACGGCCTATTCACATTACAGATTTGCATAGAAACACCACTGAAATAAAACCCCACAAATCAATACTTTAGAACAAATGCGCAAAGAGGAACAAACATCTGGCCTTTACATGCACTAAAGAAACATTTTCTGAACTCAAAGGTTAACATTAACTTAGCTAAACTTTCTGGTGGACCTGCCTGGATTTTAGCAATGGGTAGGAAATTGTTTCAGATGGTGACCATGGAAGTGAATCACAGAATCATAGAATAGTTAGGGGTGGAAAGGACCTTAAGATCATCCAGTTCCAACCCCCTGCCATTAGGCAGGGACACCTCACACTAAACCAGGTCACCCAAGGCTTCATCCAACCTGGCCTTGAACACTGCCAGGGATGGAGCATTCACAACCTCCCTGGGCAACCCATTCCAGAATAATGTTTATTAGGGCACCAGTCTATGAAGGACCATTCAGAACTGCCAAAAGCAGATGAAAATAGGGGAAAGGTAATTCTGGCAGGGAAAGATCATAACCACCAACTCACAGACCACCCACCACAGGTATAGCACCTCTTCAAAAGATTAAGGAAGTGGGAATCTTACAAATTGTAGGGAGCATGTGTATTAATCTACATGTTGGGCAAGTAAGTTTTAGCCAATCATGTAAGTGAATAACAATACATATGTATTACAAGATTGAATATGTTAATGTTTGGTGTAGAAGTAGTTGTGATTTGAGCAGCACTGGTGTGCTAGTTCTGTGGAATTATCACCTAGCACCCATCTCTGCAGACATGAAATAAATACCTCAACCCTCTGTGTTTAATGGCTTTTTGCATGCTTGATGAAAGAACCCAGACTTGGGACAACGCTACCAACCACCTGGAGCAAGAAGGGGCAGAAAGGCCAGTGCATGTTCACTGTAGACACAGCAAAGGAAAAACACCAAGCATACATTCTGTTGCAGAGCAGCAGCATATTGTGTGAATGTGCATTTGCAAATCTGTAAGAAGGCCCTGGGAAATGGCAATAGCAACAGAAGGCTCCAGGAAAACCACCCATTTATCATAACTTACCTGGCTGATGATAATGTTTTTGACAGTGTGACCTAGTTTCCAGTGACCCAATTCATGACCAAGTACAGCCAGAACTTCTTCATTTTTACATCCTTGCTTCTTATTCTGAGAGAATATAACAAAGCAGAAGTAATATCAGCTATGACTGAACACAAGTGAATAGATTTCTTACTTATTATGCACATGTGGATCTGTCTGTGTGTGTGTAAAGGAACATGAGCTAAACCCCAGAACAGGTTCCTTTTTCAACCAATTTCAAGGAAGGCTCATTTTTCATGTGCAGAGAACCAGTGTTTTGCTAAAGCCCCTGTTGATCTCTGCGGTCTATTTGGTGCTATCTGTACCACTCACACAGCCCCAGAAATTCCAATTAGAAGCTCAAGGATACTTTGGTGTTGAAATCATTAGATTTTGGGTTTTAGCATCTCACTCAGGACCTTTAAAACACATTAGAAAACACAAGGGAATATCTCACCAAGAAGTTAATGTGAACAACATGATGAAAACCGAAGATGAACTCACTTTGGTTTTAGACTTGGTATCTTCATTCTCACCATCTTCTCCTTCTGCTGGCTCTTTGTTCAAGGCAGAATAGTCTTCCAGGAGGGTGTCGAAGAGTACTATCCGCTTATTCTTGAAGAAGCCATAGAAATAAGCATTGCTATGAGAAGAACGCTTAGAACCTGATGAGAAAAATGTACATTAAAGACCACGATGTGACTAATCCCATGCATTGAAGATTGGGCAGTATTACATAGAACAGACTCTTCCAAATGAATTGTCGAAGTCCCCAGATGAACAGCACACAAACTCAAGCAGATAAATATGCAGGTTGGAGCATACTTTAGAATGATGTAACGATGACCTCATTTACTGACTCCAAGTGAGAATGTTTCACACATAACATCTAGTTGCTAAAAATCACTAAAAACAAAAGAGCTGTCACATGAAGATCTAATATCCAGAAAAAAGCCATTTCTATTGCAATTTCAGGTTCAGAGTGGAAAGAGCATTCTGCGTAGAACAAATGCTGCCCTCGTAGCAAAGGCCCTGGGACCAATATGTTTAGAATTCTTTCAATGTGCCAGCAAAGATGACTCAAAACAGATAAGGATGAAGAGGTGAGAAACAGATAAGGAGAAGAAAAAGAGATGAACTACAGATTCCAGTGCCTCTGCACCTTTCTTGTTGCCTCTTTAGGCATGGAAGCTGCTCTAAAGTCTCCCTGGAGCCTCCTCTTCTCCAAGCAGAGCAAGCCCTCTCTTAATGCTAAGCTGGGACAAGAAGATAAAAAGAGTAACAGAACTTTCGCTCTGGTTTGAAGTTCTAAAACTGGAAAATCTTCATTGCTGCTTCCATTTCTGACTTGTGCTATCCATTTCCAGTCTACACTGCCAAAATAAGCCTTCCACGCTGATGCCGAGTTAAGGCTGTACATTCAGCTGCCCTTCCTGACCTCAAAGTGAGAAAAAGGAAATGGTACAGGCATTGACAGGTATTACAGTATCTGAGGAATGTAAGCAACTGCCTTACTACTGTGTCCACAATCAAAGCTAAAAATCCACAAATGCAAAATCACAAAGTCTTTTTATTAAAAAACCCAAAATCTCACCTTCCACAACATACACCTTCGTCAGGGGGAAGTCAATGCTCTTTGCCATTGTTTCAATTTGTTGCTTGAGCTCTCCCTCAGGAAGCGGAATGAATTTATCAAACAGAGGTGCAATATAGTCTGCATAGATTGTAACGAGCACCTGCAAACACAGATGATACAGATGTTAAAAACAAGCCATACAAATGTGTGGTGAGTTCAGTTTCAAGGGGCTGGCAAAGCAAAAACAATACTAGTTTGGGATAGGGAAGTGGCAGACAAGGAAATGTGGTATCAGTTCTGGTCCTCACAGATGGTGGCAAATGCTCTGTGGGGGTGGTTGAAGCAATGGAAGCAGAGCAACTGGAACCGCAGAGATAAACCCATCTGGGCTGCTGCACTGTGGCAAGATGTCACTGCCTGGGTGCAGAACCTGGTGGTGAAGGTATGCCATGGAGATGCTCATGTACCCAAGAGTCAGGCCACTGAGGAACATCAGGACAACCCAGAGGTGGATCAAGCAGCTGAGACTGAAGTGGCTCAGATGGATTTAGACTGGCAACACAAGGGTGAATTATTTCTAGCCCAGTGGGCTCATGACATCTTAGGCCACCAAGGCAGAGATGCAACATACAGATGGGCTCGTGATCCAGGGGTGGACTTAATGGACACTGTTGCCCAGGTTATTCATGAATATGAATGTGCTGCACTTAAGCAAGCCAAGTGGTTAAAGCCCCTCTGGTTTGGAAGACGATGCCTGAAGTACAAATATGGGGAGGCCTGGCAGATTGACCATAGCACACATTCAGAAAGCTTCTTATGAGATCATACAATGCTTTTTGTTATATATATTTTAAGGAAAAGATGGGAAGAATAAAAGCAGTCCATGACTGGTATAAAGGAAGTTAAGGGGAAAAACAATACTTAGGTGTAGGAATGAGGGCAGGCCATTTCAGAAGATCCTGTATCTTCTCTCAATCCTGAAACTACCAGTTCTTTTAACATTTCAGCTTAATCCTCCCATGACAAAGCAAGTCTTGAAAGCCTTTAAGACTAAGACTTAAAATATCAGTGAGGAACTAATATCTCTCTGGTTTTGCAAATCATACAGCTACACTAGAACAACCCACAAGCATGGACTGTTCCACTGGGGCTAACAGTGTATACGGAAAGAGCCTTTCAGTATAAGCCCTGAAAACATCAGTTACCAACTCAGCGTAGCAAAGCAGCTCTATAAGCAGAACCAGGAGTGGAAAACTGCTACTCATCTCAATACAAAGAAATGCAACTGAGATGTGGTGCTCAATAACCTGCAGGAAAAGCCCCATGGAAACTTTACTGCTGAAAGCACATGCTGCCTTGTCTTGCCAAACTGCTGGCAGCTCTCCTTGTGCCCTTTCTATACTTAAGAAAAAGGAACTTCTCACCACAGTGTGTTCTATTTCCAGTACCTGTATTAAAGCTTTTTGAATGCTTATTTTTCAATTGATGAAGACACACTCCAGTATTAAATACAGAAAATCTAAGATAATACATTTATGTGAACATTAACATGAACTATTATTCCTGAACAAGTACACTGACAGCAAGACACCGGTACAGTTTGTAGACACTAAATTCCTGGGAGATGTAGATTTTTCTCCATTTCCTTTGCACACTGAGCCATGCAATTAAACTACCATTTGGAAGAAATCCCACCACGTTCTCATACTCACCAAGGAAACAACCAATGTGAAGAGCCAGGCATAGATGAAGAAATAGTCTCCCCCTATTTTAATAATGTAAAGCAGAAGGGATGTCACTGGCAACAGAATACATTGAGTCACGACAAACTTCTTGATAGCATCCTTAAAAAAAAATCCCAGTGTCTGTAAAGAGAAGAGATCAGCGATATCTGCAATGTAAATACTGATGTGGCACCGTGGTTAATGAACTGATCCCTTCAGGGGATGCAGAGAAACAAAATCACACAACAGCAGTACCAATGGGATGAGGAAGTTAGAGTCAGTTAAGAAAAGGTGTCAGAACCCTTATTTTGTGTTGTATATACATACTTCATTAAAAGAAGAAAGAAAAATTTAAGCTAATTAACTCCTTTACCAATCTATACCCAAGACATTATGTGATTTTTAGAGAATAGGAAACTCTTACAGAAACATAGTACTGTAATGGAGGAAACTGTCTTTAAACAGTTGCCTCCATTCATCTTAACTCTCTTACCACTAAGCTGATTGTTTAAACAGGAAACATACAGAAGCCCTATGAAAGACTTTTAGGTATATATTGGGCACTCCAAGTTCCACTTGCAATTACAGTTATTCACTTAACTGTCTCAGGTTTTAAAAGTAGTGTCAACTTGAATTGAAGCAACAGATATTTCAAAAGAGCTCTACCTGAATGAATCTGATCTAGTGACCCTGCAGTATGATCAGACACCCAACTAGCTCTTTCAGTTCTTACTTCATTACTTACAGCTATCTGCCAGCCACAGAAGTGAGGGGGGTAGCATGTAAAGATCCTTCCCAACAAGGCTGTATTAAAAAGCCCAGACTACGTTAAAGATATGGAACTTGTCTGGAAAGGAAAAAGCATACTGGTAAAACAGATTTTAATGAAAACTAAGGATTTGGATAGACGCCCCAGACTTCCATGACTATCAGAAACACAAATAGGATATAAACCCCATATTTTAAGCTATCCTTTAGACATGTACACTCTGGTAGCACACTCTGGTGACAGATTCTTGCTAAGCAGCCATTAGTGTCAGCAGTAACACTATTGTATGGACACGTGCCCACACAACTGGAGCACACCAGAAAATACTGATGAAGATGGAACTGGCAAGTACTAGTGTACAGTCTACCATTACCGGAATGAGCCAAGGAGCTTTATCCCACACCTGCTACCCATCCAAATCTCATTCTACTGTAAAAAACCAAACTAAGCAACACAAAGAAGCAACTTCCTAGTAGACTTTGACCAAAAAGTACTGCAGACAACACTGGGTGGGTCCAAAAGCAGAAAACCTCTTATGCTTTGGCATGAAGCGGCTAATGATGTGCCATAGATTGAGGCTGTTCTCCCAAAAGGAAAATGAGATCTCATGAGAAACTGATATTGAAGCAGGTTAAACTGAGTTGGTGAGAAAAATTAAGGAAGCCAGCTGATATGAAGTGGGTACCTGAGAGGAATACAAATGAAGAGCTGAATTCTCTCATTTAGTACCAGCTGATACAAGAAATAAGTGAACCAAAATGAGGGGAAAAATAACTTCTCTGTCTTATTTCATCTGTTCAGTGTTCACAGCTCAGGTCTGCCTCAGACTTCTCTGTAATCCAGGCTTCTCAGGAAGGGCTTATGGAAAGCAAAGAACACTGCATCCAGAAATGAACAGCTGAGGTATGAAATGTCTTTGTTCCAGTCCTAGAATACACATTACCCTCTGCTCAAAGGCATGGGCTCAGGCAGAGAATTTTGCTGAGGAATGAGTACTTCTGCAACGCTCAACCAACTGTCACAGCTCTTATTTTTATGCAGTATGAGTAGAAATGTTCCCAAACCTAACAATCTTTGGCACAGATATGGACATACCAGTCCCTCTGACCAGCCAAACCTACTGAAGATGTCAGGTCAGTGTAAGTGCTATCTACAATACCTGTTGATTGAAGCCATGTTTTTCTTCTATGACAAATGTGTTATACAAACTCCATGGGAGACCAGTCACTGCACTGAAGAGTGTTGCAAGGAGCAGAAATACCAATGACTGAACAATCTGTGGGGAAAAAAACAAAGTCAAAATACACCTGATCTGTACTATAATTAATATTCTGGGTGTTAAAAATGGATTTTATGCCAGTGGTTTAACTGAAACTGGTTAAAAGAAGAATTTCTGTGGATAAATCCACAGAAATTACATGATTGTGACAATTAGATTACTTAATAGAATCATAGAATAGTTAGGGTTGGAAAGGACCTTAAGATCATCTAATTCCAACCCCCTGCCATGGGCAGGGACACCTCACACTAAACCAGGTCACCCACGGCTCTGTTCAACCTGGCCTTGAATACTGCCAGGGATGGAGCATTCACAGCCTCCCTGGGCAACCCATTCCAGTGCCTCAGCACCCTAACAGGAAAGAACTTCCTTATATCCAATCTAAACTTCCTCTGTTTAAGTTTTAAACCATCACCCCTTGTCCTGTCACTACAGTCCCTGATGAAGAGTCCCTCCCCAGCATTCTTATAGCCCCCTTCAGATATTGGAAGCTGCTCTGAAGTCTCCAAGCAGCTTCTCTTCTCCAGGCTGAACAGCCCCAACTCTCTCAGCCAATCTTTGTACAGGAGCTACTCCAGTCCCCTGATCATCCTCGTGGCCTCCTCTGGACTTGTTCCAACAGTTCCATGTCCTTTTTATGTTGAGGACACCAGAACTGCACACAATGCTCCAGGTGAGGTCTCACAAGAGCAGAGTAGAGGGGCAGGATCAACTCCTTCGACCTGCTGGTCACACTCCTTTTGATGCAGCCCAGGATATGGTTGCTTTCTGGGCTGCAAGTGCACACTGAAGCCGGCTCATGCTCATTTTCTCATGAACCAACACCCCCAAGTCCTTTTCTGCAAGGCTGCTCTGAATCTCTCCTCTGCCCAACCTGTAGCTGAGCCTGAGATTACTCCGACCCAGGTGTAGGACCTTGCACTTGGCATGGTTAAACTTCACGAGGTTGGCATCAGCCCAGCTCACAAGCATGTCAAGGTCCCTCTGGATGGCATTCCTTCCCTCCAGCGGATCAACCGAACCACACAGCTTGGTGTCATCACAAACTTGCTGAGGGCGCACTCAATCCCATTGTCCATGTCAGCAATGAGGAGGTTGAAGAAGACCGGTCCCAACCCTAATCCCTGAGGGACACCGCTCATTACTGGTCTCCAGCTGGACATTGAGCCACTGACCACAACTCTTTGTGTGCAGCCATCCAGCCAGTTCTTTATCCACCTAATGCTCCACCTATCAAACTGATGTCTCTCCAATGTAGAGACGAGGATGTCATGTGGGACAGTGTTGAATGCTTTGCACAAGTCCAGGTAGATGACGGCAAGTGCTCTACCCCTGTCCATCAGTTCTGTAGCCCCATCATAGAAGGCCACCAAATTGGTCAGGCAGGATTTCCCCTTAGTGAAGCCACGCTGGCTGTCACCAAGCACCTTGTTGTTTTTCATGTGCCTTAGCATGCCTTCCAGGAGAATCTGCTCCAAGATTTTGCCAGGCACAGAGGTGAGACTGACTGGTCTGGAATTCCCTGGGTCATCCATTTTCCCCTTCTTGAAAATGGGGGTTACATTTCCCTTTTTCCAGTCATTGGGAACTTCACCTGACTGCCATGATCTACCAAATATGATGGACAGCAGCTGAGCAACTGCATTTGCCAGCTCCTTCAGGGCCTGCAGATGAATTTCATCAGGTTCCATGGACTTGTGCACGTTCAGATTCTTAAGACGGTCTCGAACCTGATCCTCTCCTACAGTGGGCCTAGGGTCTTCCCTCTCACAGTCACATGTGACTTGCACGTCACACACTGGCTGTGGTTCTCAGATTCACACAACTGTTATGTTCACCAGAAAATCTGTTATTTTCAATATATTGTGCCTGTAGCTAAATTCCACTTAAATGCAAGCTTAAAAATGTAAGGGCTGCTTACCTCATACTCTGGTCCAAACCCAGCACCACCAGAGATCTGACCAGACAGATTCCAGAGAAAAGGAATGCCTCCACAGAGGAGAATCATCTTGAAAACAAAACCACATACCACAGAGGCAATATGAAACAGACTGCATCTTATTCCACTAGAATTTCAGGACCTTTAAAGGGTGAATGACAAAGGGGCTTTCTGTCCCTCTCTGATCTCAGCAGTGCACAAAGAAAGCCTGGAGCATTTGGCAATGCTTCATTTTTACTTTAGAGAAGTAGAGATCAGGTCCAGCTTCTTTTTTTTCCTGGGAAATACAAGCACATTTCCAAGCCAATTTACTGTAGACTTTGCTGTTATATTGGTTCAGTCATAAGGTGTATTTCTCAGATCTTAAAATTCACTTGCCAGGTGGCTGGCTGTATAACACATCTCTAGGAGGGGTATGCAAGATTCAGCAACTTGAGTGAGCTGAGACAGTCTCTCCTGCATTGCCTACCCATAGAAAGGCATTCAGAATAAGGCTGTAATCACACTTTCAGTATTAGTGCTGCTTCAGCCATTTTAAGGAAGCTTTATGCCTCGTGCCTGTATGGCAATGCCTCCTGCCATACAGGTTGCCAAGGGAGCAGACTACTCAGGACACACCATCAAAGAAATGCTTGAGACAGAGCTACTGAAGTAAGTGCTAATTGTACTTCAAGGCAGGAGCTGGTAGTGTTTGTTAAGCAGCCTGACTTCCAAATGTTTCATACTGACTTTCTTAGCAAGTTATGCATCACTATACATAAAATCAGTTTTCAAGTAGGCAGGCTTCCAGTATAGGCAGGGCCTGGTTTTTACATAGTTATTTTTAAAAGGCTTAATCTTATAACCTGCATTTTGAGTGTCAGCAGGAGATGGAAAGGATCAAAGCAAGCTTGTTTCTCCTTTGCAGGCTACCTGTAAATTTCAGACCTGGAAATCCCAAAAGTACCAAACCCTGAACAATGACAGGTATTAGCATGATGTTGACTCTACCTATTAGTTAAAAAGAAACCCACATAATTAAAGGCTGAAATAAAGCATAGCAATAATCCTAGCTCAGCATCTCCCCTTCAATTAACTTGGTTAATTGAATCATACTTCCAGAAAGGGTTGCAAAACTGTCATCCAATTCATCAACTTGGGCCACAAAAGCATCTTTCAAGTTCAGGCAGTTCTCAAAGCCAATCAAAGATGCAGTTTACACTCTAAGGAAGTGGCAAACCCAGAGAGCAGAGGCCACTTCACTTCAGCTCTGCTGGAATCTGATAATCCCAGGACAGATAGTGAGAAATGGAAAGACACAACTCAGTATCCCAGAAAGGAGCAGGAACTCATCATCACATACATGTCGAGAAGAAACTCCATACAACATACACACCAGAGACCTCAGCTTGATTGTAGAATAGAATCATAGAATCGTTTAGGTTGAAAAGACCTTTAAGATCATGAAGTCCAACTGTTAATCCAGCACTGCCAAGGCCACCACTAAACCATGACTCAGTGCCACATCTACACATCTTTTAAATAACTTCATTGATAGTGACTGCAGCCCTGCCCTGGGCAGCCTGTTCCAACGCCTGAGCACCCTCTGGGGCAGGAATTGTTCCTCAGCTCCATCTAAACCTGCCCTGGTGCAGCTTGAGGCTGTTTCCTCTTGTACCATCCATTGCTCCTTGGGAGCAGAGCCCAGCCCCTCCTGGCTCCATCCTCCTGTCAGGCAGTTGGAGGCAGCCATCAGGTCCCCCCTGAGCCTTCTCTTCTCCAGACTGAACACCCCAGGTCCCTCAGCCATTCCCCATCACACTTGTGCTCCAGGTCCTGCACCAGCTCCAGTGCTCTTCTCTGGCCCTGCTCCAGCACCTCAATGTCTCTGTTCCAGTGAGGGGCCCAGAACTGAACACAGGATTTGAGTTGCAGCCTCACCAGTGCCCAGTACAGGGAAACAATCACTGCCCTAGCCCTGCTGGCCACACAATTGCTGATACAGGCCAGGATGCCATCAGCCTTCTTAGCTGCCTGGGCACATGTACATTTTGACAAGCTCCTACAAAATGAAACGACGTTTAGGCTAGGTTGCACAAGAGATAAGGAATGCAAAGGTTAAGAGGGGCTGCAATTCTTAAGAACAAGATTCAAATCACAGCTATAGAATTATAGAATAGTTTGGGTTGGAAAGGACCTTAATATCATCCAGTTCCAACCCCCCCAACCCCTCACACTAAACCAGGTCACCCAAGGCTCTATGTTATAGAGCTACATCACTTACACTGCCTTAACAGTACCTTTTATAATCGACCTTTTTGCTTCCTTAAGTTCATCACATAGTAGATCATACTCTAATTATATTCTGCAATGCCAGTCATTTTGGGATTCCTTTTCGACCCAGTTTTGCTACTGATGAGCAGCACATTTCAGTCAGAAAATCTTTCTTTTAAGACTGTTTGTAAATCACACATGTAAATACTTTAACTTAGTGGGTCTGGTTCTTCATATATACAAATGCTATTGGCCTAGTGCAATTGTTCTTCCATTTAAGAAGTACCCACTGGTCCTCTTCTTGTTCTCACAGGCTTTTCTTTCTACCTTCTTTTCAAGTTTTCTCTAGAAGCCTCCAAACACAGAAAAAGGCCTGTACTGTAATATTTTGAAGTAATTCTAATGCTGCTTAATTATTTGGCAGTGGAAAGCATAATATAGTATCAGTTTTACAGTATGACTCAGTGTGGCACAGAGAAACTACATGCTGTCTGAATGATTCCTTCTTTTTATATGGCAAATACAGCTACAACCAAGAAATCCTAGGCCTTCCAAATGTCACTGGTTGACGTCAGACTGCAGAACACCACCAGCGCAGGGGCACGGGACCACCACGAATCAAAGCATTGCACAGTTTAAGTGCCTGAAAAGTACCATAAGAATGCAGGAGTAGAGCTTAGGTACTTACAGTGCCCTCAAGCTCTGAATAGAGGCCTGACCAAAAGCTGAAGGTACTTTTGTCCAGCTGATAGAGCCGAGATTTCTCAAAGGTCTCTGAATCCATGATCTGCCCCAGCTCCTGTGGCACGTGTGTTGTTGTTCTGTAGACCCGCCTCTGAAAAAGTAAAGAGAAATGTAAGGTCTAGAGGCAGTATTTCTAAGGAGGTAACTCAGATTTTCATGTAACACACACCTGGGTCCTATGGGCCAGCACAGGAAGTTAAAAACAGAAAGAGAAATGAAACAACCCATAAAATAACAAATACTCCTAAAACCCTGGTTTTGATCAAGCTCCAGATATAAAACTGAGGCATTATTATTACATTATAATCAGAAACCGAGCTGCCTACTTCTTATTTCCGATATGGTTACTACCTAAAGATCACATAAACTCCGTTTTCCACCGGATGTGACTTCCTGCAGCAGAGTTTGAAACTAAACACCCCATCTTCCTCTGCAAACCTGCACCTTCACAAGCAAACATCTCTGTGATGCTGCTGCACAAAGGAACGTTTCCATTGCTGGAGAGAACTCACAACTCGCACAGTTTTAAAGACTGGAAGCCCTTATCTGACCCACTGCCTTGTTCCAGTGTATTTATCCCTTCTCCAAGGAAGGGCTCCTACCCTTTGTCAGCTCAGAACACATTCCTCCTGTGAGCAGAGGAGCAGGCGGCTTGGTTAGCTGATCTCAGGGCTCATAGGAGCACTTCCCAGCTGTGCTGGGTCTGGATGTGATGGAGCTCACTCCCTCACAGCAGCCTGGGTGCTGCTTTGCATTCGTGACCCGTGCTGCTAACACCAGTCTGCTGCTAACCACCACCAAAGGCTTCTCCCCCTCTATTCCACCGCAGGAACAGGCTGAGAAGGGACACAGCCAGGACAGCTGACCTGAGGTACCCACAGGGCATCCCATGTAGAATCTGCATCCCATGTAGTAACAAATGAAGCAGAGGAAGAAGAGGCGGGGAGAGGGAGTTGACTTCCAAGGTGGCTGCTGCTTGGAGCCTGACTGACCCGGCACTGCCCTGCTCTCAGGCTGCGGTGGGCAATTGCCTTTGCAGCACTGCTGGGCTCATTTCCCCATCCCCTTCACTTACCAAGCCGCCCTTACCTCAACCCAGCAGCGTTTTTCTCCCACTTCTGCTCTTCCTATTCTCCAACCTGTTGTGGTGATGGAACCGCTACCGGTCACCCCCCCACACACACACACAGGGTCAGACTCCTCCAACACCCCCCCCTCACCGAGGGGCCGGTCAGCGCCCCCCCACCCTAGGGCAGAGCAGCGGCAGCTTCCCCGTGCGTGGGGAGCGCCATGGAGGGGAGCCACGACCGGCCCCGGCACCCGCCGCCGGCAAACCCAGCCGGGCCGCGGGCGAACACCGCACCCCGGTCCCGCTGCCTCGGCTGGGCCGGGGCCGGGGCCGAGCCCTCCGCAGGCAGGTGACGGGCTCAGCCGGCCCCACACCGCTCGGACCCGGGCCCCACCGCCTCACACGTGAGGCCGGACCCAGCCCCCTGTGCCCGCTGACCTGCCGGTGCGCCAGGAAGGCCTCCCAGAGGTAGACGGCCCATGAGAAGAGCAGCACGGAGCAGAAGATGCGCTGCTCGGCCGGCACCTCTGCCCACAGCTCGCCGGGCAGCGCCATGGCCCCGCCAAGAGATCCCGCTTCCGCCCGCTGCGGCGCCCCCTGGCGGCCGGAGGAGCGCGGGAGGGGCGGGGTCGGGCCCTGAGGGGAGGAGGGAAGGGGCCGAGGGGCTCCCGGGTGGGTCTGACCCGGAGGTCTTCACCCCTGGTCCCGCACCCGCTGCTCCAGCGAGCCCTGGGCAAGGCGGGGGAGAGCAGCGGAGCTGCCGGTGGTGGTGGGAGGGCAGAAGCCTCCTCTGATGATGTATTGTGTGCAGTTCTGGTGTCCTCAGCATAGAAAGGACATGGAACTGGTGGAACAAGTCCAGAGGAGGCCAAAAGGATGCTCAGGGGCTGGAGCACCTCCTGTATGGAGCCAGGCTGAGAAAGTTGGGGCTGTTCAGCCTGGAGAAGAGAAGCTGCGTGGAGACCTCAGAGCAGCTTCCAGTGTCTGAAGGGGGCTATAGGGATGCTGGAGATGGTACTCTTCCTTAGGGACTGTAGTGATAGGACAAGGGGTAATGGGTTCAAACTGAAACGGGAAGTTTAGATTGGCTATAAGGAAGAAGTTCTTTCCTGTTAGGGTGGTGAGGCACTGGAATGGGTTGCCCAGGGAGGTTGTGAATGCTCCATCCCTGGCAGTGTTCAAGGCCAGGTTGGACTGAGCCTTGGGTGACCTGGTTTAACGGGACGCATCCCTGCCCATGGCAGGGGAGTTGGAACTGGATGATCTTAAGGCCCTTTCCAACCCAAACCATTCTGTAGTTCTATGCTCAGGTGTGAAGACGCAGGGATCGATGTTATGGAAGTTCAGTGTTTGCGGTATGACAGTGTGTTAGCTTTGCTCATACAGACACTGGCTCGCTGCAGTGTGATGAGGCAGTGGGGTTTCTCTGGAGACTTCAGTTCATGCTGGAATAAAACAAAGTCAAGGGCAGCCCAGCCCTGGAAATGAGGACTTTGCTTCTCGCAGGCTTGAAACTGTCCATGCAGGATAAAGGATGCTTTATCCCTGCTCCCACAGCTGAGGTGCCAGGGCAGAAAGCTGATGCTGGGCATCACCTGCACAACACAGGGAGCTCTGCAGCGGTGCCACCACCATGGCAATCCACCCTCGCTTTGCCAACCAAACCTCCATAGGAACCTCTCATCGTGGAACTGTTGGAAGCATAAAGACAGTGGAGGAAATGCTGAAGCTCAAGGTGAGTGACCGGGCCCAGGGTGACTGCGGCAGGCACGGAAACCATGCCGAGGCCTGGTGCTTTGTGCTGTGGTGGGAGCGTGAAGCGGGGCAGAAGCTGCATGGCCCCGGTGCGAGGACTCTTGCTGCAGATCACACAAGAAATGGTTACCAACAAGCGTGGCCATAAGGAAGGGGAGGTTTGACCACGCTCCAAGCTGCAGCACCTTGTGTAAGTACAGTTAACAAGGCACAAAGGTACCCGGGGTTAGCACCTAAGTGGGGGATGAGAGTTCGACACCAAACTGCAGGGAGAGGTGGATGGGATGCCTATGGGTAAGTCTTGCAATGACTCCTCCAGAGGAAACTCTGTTAAGTCCTGTTTAAGATAAACCAGGCTGGCAGAGCACTTGTTCCACAGAGTCATTTGTTTGGCTGCTTGCTCTGGGACTTCCCACAGCAGCCAGGCAGACAGTGCTGCACGGGAATGCCCAGGATGTGGGTTCTTTCCCTTCTTAAAGCAGGGAAGAATACAAATTGGCCCCTCCTGGTCAAGCCAATGGAGACTGCCACAGCAGCAGCTGAGAGCACCCAGAGGGATGAGCTGAGACAGCTCAGTACACACGTGAGGGATGATGGTAGCTTATTGTGGAAGAAACTGGAGCAGAAGGGACCACTGGTGAGCACAGCCGGGCACACTCACATCAGTGCTGTGGTTTGAACCCAGCTGGTCACTCACACCCTGGCTCTGATCCCTCCCGGCTTCTCATGCCCCTCCTCACTGGCAGAGACTGAAAAGTCCTTGCTCAGGGTAAGCATTACTCAGCAACAGCTAAACCATCGCTGTGTTACAGCACTGTTCTCAGCCTAAAGCTGGAAACACGGCACTGCACCAGCTGCTAGGAAGGAGAAACATAGCTGTTAGTGCTGAGCCCAGAACAATGACTGGAGTCTGAGGTGTTAATTTTTGCCACTGAGTAAGCAAAGGGCAGGACCTGCACTTGTGGGTAAGGAGACAAAGCCTGAGGTTACTCTTGTAAAGCAGGGCAAGATGGAAAACAAGCTCAGGAAGAAAACTGCAGTACAGAGACCAGACTATAACAGAGAATCCTGCTTAAGGACTGACATACGGAGTTTGGGAAACTGGGGTAACGAGAGCTGTCATGATACTGAGCCTGAGCAAGGCCTAAGCAGGGATGCGAAGGTATACATCTCACATTAGTTGTAGCCCCAATAGCATTAATAACTTGCATCTTTGAGTTGCAGCCCTATTTCTTTGTGCTGTAATGGCTGAGAGGTACTCAACTGTATGCTGCTATTGCTGGGTGAGTTTTCTAACGTTTCAAGGAGTTAAAAAGTGCCAGAGCTGTTTCATTTGCCAGACACGAAAGCAGGTTACAGCCAGGAACAGAGAAGCAGAGAACCCTCCTGGTGGTAACATTCAGTGCCTCAGGCACCTATGTGAGCATTCAAAGCTGACTCAGCACTACCATCAACAGCAGAGGCGCAGCCCCCTTGTCCCCCTTCCTGTGCTCACACATTTACATGGTTTTGTAGTACAAACCGAAGAACTCATCAGTGTTAAAACACTTTTAAGACTTTCTTGTAATGGTTTTTGCCCAGCCCAGGTCTTTCTGAAGGCATGAACCAGATGAAGTATCTTAGGAACTGGAAAGATACAGAGCCCTTATGGCAATCAAGTATTGGAGTCAGAACGCTTCATATTTGGTAATGTTAAGTGAAGACAGCAATAGATGCTCCTGAAATCCATACAGCTTGCCACAGCAGTACTGGGGACGCATTCTTCTGAGGACCCCCTTCCTGATACCCACCAGTGCTAGGCAATTAGAAAGATCAGACAAATAAACCTCAGAAGAAATCAGCATGTGGACTCAAACTGTGTCATTTGGATGGTGGAACATCTATCATCACCTCACTCAGAGGGTAGTGCATGCTGCTGCTGATGGAGCTCAAAGTTGAAACACATCATCTGTATCTGAAACATGCAAGACAATTTCTGTAAGTAGGAAGTAGGTGTTCCTGCTGCTTGCAAGGGGGTTGGACTAGATGAGCTCTGAGGGTCCCTTTCAACCCAAACCATTCTATGACTGCAACTGGTATCTTTCACAAGAAATAGGAACACAACTTGAGAGCTCTCTATTAAAAAAATCCAGTTGTGCCCAGAATGCCACATAACCAGAGGAAAACCCACTCACCACTTCCTCAATACAGCTCTTGGCCTGAAGAACAGAGCAGGAACTGTCTCAATACCTGACAACAGAAATGATGCCTGTCTCTTTACCCTGCCTGCAGCAATTTAAGACAGCAGCCAACTCACCAGGGTCTAGAGAAGACTTCAGAGATGTAACCTGCCAAAGCTTGCCCTGTGTACAGGGGTGGTAGTTTACAGACATGAGCAACTCTTACTAAGTAAGAGCACGTTTACCTTTGAGGCACTGGAAGTTCCACACGTGACCACGCTGTGGGATTACAAAATACAACTGTCATAAAATTCATGCTTCCTATGCTAATTTGTTTATACAAGTGGCAGGATTAGTTACTTTAATAGGAAAGCTGAACACTGAAGAACTCTAATGCTCAGCTTAAGCACAGCAGGATTGTATAAAGGTGATTTTGTATTATGTTGTGGCAAAGGCTTTGGTGGCAAGTTGGCAGGAGTTCATATGAAGAGTATACCAGAAATGCAAACTCATTCTTAGTTTCAAAATGCTAGATCCACAGACTGGAGCTTGACAGAAGGAAGGACGAAGCTATGCTCCAAAGGGAGCAGCAAGGCTGCATCACTGTGTATTTTGTTACTCTATAAGGACATATGGTACCTCCAAACCTGCATTTTGAATTGTGGTTTTTGACAATCAACTGTAAGCGAGCCCACTCCTATGTTCATGTCAGAACAGGCAGAGAGATGCACTGTCAGTTACACTGGAGAAGATGAACATTTGCAAGGCTTGCTGTGATTGCTGTTTGGTCATTAGCATCCTCACTAATGGGAGACTGGAAAATACCAGTAGGGGAAACAGACCCTGGGCCTCATGGTGCATCCAGAAGTAGGACAAGAAACGACACACAGAAAAACAAGAAACAGATGATAAAATATCAGATGACTCCTCTGGTGAATCTTCCAGCTGGTTTATTCGTTATCAAAAGAGCTAACCAGGGAACCCGAAATGTGCACTGATACTTTCAAGTGACACAACTCTCTGGCAATGCTCTTCAAACCCTTTTGTGCCACACAGTCTCAGAAGCATCTTCTCCCCTTCAAAGTAACTAGGACTTTCCCATCCGCAAGTGACAAGTGCTTCCTACCTGTACTCATTATAATTCAAGTCTGAAAAAAGCACAGAGAATGTGATAAAATAATACTTTACTTTTATCTATACTGTTTCAGTCTGATAAATTATCTACAAATGCATAAAACTTAAGCAACATTGTCCAATGCACTCAGAATGGTCCCAAATTCAATTACAAGTAAACGACATTAAAGATTTACTGTACAGTAAACAAATGGGTGAAAAACTGTAATTTATTGAAACTCATAACTCAAAAAATATAAGATGCTGTAGTGTACAATATGTTACACAAAGCACCCTAGGGTGCACATTCAAGTCAAGTAATAACTCCATCGCCCCCCAAACCCTGGTACCCTAGTACTTGTTTCATATACAATCATGCACATTTACTCTTCAAGAGGAAGCCCCCAGTATTTTGATGTGTTAAATAGCACCAAAATCAGCATAGTTCACTGAAAAAAATGGGGAGCTAAATTAACTTGGCCAATACTTTTGACAGATATTATACATTCATGGAATTAAACAGTCTAAACTAACCTAAACAGTGTGTACTGTAACAATTACTGTCCTAATTTGA